ACTGGGGGTGGGGGGTCTGCTGCCGCCGTGGTCCCCTTGTCAGCTGGATGGCTGGCTGTACTGGGGGGGGGTCTGCTGCCGCCGTGGTCCCCTTGTCAGCTGATGACTGGTGTACTGGGGGTGGGGGGTCTGCTGCCGCCGTGGTCCCCTTGTCAGCTGGGTGACTGGCTGTACTGGGGGTGGGGGGAAGCCTACTGCCGTGGTCCCCTTGTCAGCTGATGACTGGTGTACGCAGATCCAGTGTCAATGTTGGAACATCTTTCAAATCACCCTTCCCCCACCCACCCCAGCTTCCAGACTTTGCTAGATCTCTCTCTCTCTCTCCTCTCACTCTTCACACACCACATGGAGAGAAGAGGTTTTCATTTCTGCATGTAATGTGGCTTTTTGTGGCTGTAGGGGAGAATGGGTGGGACAGTAGTGAGGAAGGCTCAGAGGTGTTCTGTGATGTCCAGAGAGAGTTCTTTTCTGTGTTAGAGGATGAACTCTCCTGAGGGGATGGGGCAAGGGCAGAATCTGATGGAACAATCTGAGGACATGCCTCTTCCTGCAACACAGTAGCTTGGGGTTATGGATGTGGCTACTCTTTTGTTTCCTAAGGCTTCAGGCTGCTTGGTTGGGAAGGGAGGCCCTGGTGTGTAAAGTCCCCTAATTACCATGGTTACCAGGCAGGTAAGGACTGGCTAGGTGGTACACTGAATAGGCCAGATATATTCACTTTGGAAATAGGCACTAAGCACCATTAGTTCATTTGTGAGCCTTCCTTTTTTTCTCTTTCTTTCTTTCTTTCTTTCTTTCTTTCTTTCTTTCTTTCTTTTTTCGGTTTTTCAGGACATGATTTCTCTGTGTAACCCTGACTGTCCTAGAACTCACTTTGTAGACCAGGTTGGCCTCGAACTTACAGAGATCCGCCTGCCTCTACCTCCTGTGTGCTTAAAGGTGTGAGCCACCACGCCCAGCCATTTGTGAGTCTTTTAATTAAGGGATTGAAAAAAGATCTGGCCAGGTGTGGTGGCGCACACCTTTAATCCCAGCACTCCAGAGGCAGAAGCAGGAGGATCTCTGTGAGTCAGATTTATTTATTTAAGGATGGAAGCTTTGGGCTGATCCTGACTCTAAGAAGCCCATTGGCTGGAAGCCCCTTTGCAAGGGAAATCCCACTATGTCCTCTGTCTCCCAAGCTTTGTGGGGGTCTTAAGTGCCACTTTCTTCACCGCTACCATAGGAATTAACCGTGTTCCACTTACCCCTTCTGCTCCCAGCGCACGGCTGATCATGGATAACATGTTTCAGGGAGGCAGGTCCCACAACGCCTGAGGGCATGCAGGCCTTCTCCTGGGACTTGGGGTCTCTGACTCTGAGTGGGAGGATTCCTCCCAAGCTGGGGCTTTGGGTGTGATGCTGTCTGGTCCCTGGCTGTCCTGTTGAGGATCAGGGAGAGCATCTGCTCCAGGGTTCAGGGATATGTAAGTGAGACACAGAGCAGCAAAGGAAGGGATGGGGCGAATTCTGTGACCTTCCAGCTCCAATGCCATCGTTTCCCAGAGTAAAAGCGTTCTTGCCCCGTGGATAGTGACTGATCTGGAAGCATCGATGCTGTGTTCCATCTTCCTAGGACAATCATTTAGCTCTCAAGAAGAGCGAGGGTCTGAGGCCACAACGGGATTCTTAAACATTTCCTGTGGCCCTAGTGACCCCACTTTCCCGAGGCTAGAAGCCCATCTTGCCAAGTATGTACCCTCCTACTCTCTTCTGACCCTAAACTCCCTTTGCCACCCCCAAACCAGCCTTCTTGTCTGGGCTCGCCTGTTTCTGAAGCCTGGCAGGGTAGGCAGAGGCACAAAGGAATGGGTGTTCTTCCTCACCCCCCACCCCCTTGGCTTCCAGGAGCTGAGGGTTTCCTTGTCTCATCTCTGGAGCAAGGCACCAAGCCCAGCCCTGCCTGGCCCCAGTCCGGACATTCTTGGGAGTGCGTTTCCTTGGATACTGGGTGGTGAGGGGGTGCATGTGCTATCTCTGTGTGTCTATGTAACTGGACTTTGTTTATGTATCTCCGGATATGTTTGTGTCTCCAGGGCTTGTGTATTTTGGTGTTTGTTTGTGTCTTTCCTTGTGTTTACAGACCAGTGTAGTCAAATGGGTGGTGGGCGAACTTAGAACTGATGGCATCAAAATGTCTATGTGTATTTTCTGTGTTGTACATGAGAACTCCATGGCATGGCATGTGTGCCAGAGGATCCCATAGGGCTGGGAGTGTAGCTCAGTGGCAGAACACTTATCTAGCAGCACGAGGCCCTAGGTTCGGCATGTACACACACGCACACACACATACACACACACATACACACACACACACACACACACACACTTTTTCCTGGCATATTGTCTGCTCTGGCCTTATACAGGGGATCCTCTCTGAGAGGTAAAAGGATATCTTGGGAATAACAGGAAGCTTTCTTTGGTTGAACCAGACCTTAGAAGAAGCATCAGTCTGGGCTCTATGCCCAGCCATAGGCAACATGGAATGCCACGCTTCATGGCAAGCAGAGATGGCAGTGACAGGATCTTCCAGTCAGGCGTGTGCTTGGACCAGGGGAGGGGGGAGGCCAGAAAACAGATGCCAACCTTTAGCCTAGAGAAGTGAACACGTGAGGGAGCCACCCCTGTGCCCGGGCATCCTGGCACATTCCGTGGTGCCCTCTTCTCTACAGAGCAAGGGGTGGAGCTGGGAGAGGGAGCACGGAAATGAAGCAGAGGCATCTCGTTCCTGGGTCTAGGCTGCTCCACCCTAGGACCACAGCACTAAACCACATGAAAGATTTGGGAGGGGACTAAGGAAGAAAGACTCCAGAGAGCCACACAGCTCAGGGCTTGGGCTGTCTAGACAGTGGGTCCCCCATCAACTCCTACCATGAGCTGCCACTGTCTTAAATGTCCTTCACTTCTGAAACCACCTCCCATTGGTGGGAAGGAGCTCCAAGATAGCCAGGATTCCTGGGGTGCCAGCTGCCTTCCTGTGATCCAGGGCATCAGGCTCTCCCCTCCCCTCCAGTTAGGTTATTCCTTCTGTGAACTGGGCAGGGAGCCTCCAAGCTTTCTCTGCTAGGGCTGATAACAATCTTTACTAGTAGAAGTCAGGGGAAGGAGAGCAGGGGTGAAGACCGGGAGCTTCCAGCTTCCTTGTGTCTGCCTCTTGCACTGTTTCTCCCTGGCAGCATCTCCCTGTCTGCCTGGGTCTGTCCAGCTGGCCATCACAGTTTCCAGACCAGTGACTCACTCTTCCTGGGGAGTCTCTCTTTTTTTAACGCCTCCCTTCATTTTACATTTGACCCTATATGGCTCTTCCCTTTTTTTTCCCCCCTTCGGAAAGGAAATAAGTTTCCTGTGAACATGTGAGTGTGTTTGTGTGTGTTTGCACGTGGGCATGTGTAGTATGTCAGTGAGTGGGCGAGGCGGTGACCTCCTCGCCAAGAAGGAACAATTCCCTCATTTCTCTAAGGAAACTGACTTTTTATTTCAGAGTCCCTCCAGGGGCTGATTTGAAAGGCCAGCTCGGGCTCAAATAAGTCTAGAACTAAGAGGGGGCTGGAGGCTGGGGACATGAGAGTGTGACAATAACTGTGTGTGATAGAGCGTGTATAATGTGGATGTTTGTTTGGCTCAGTGTGCGCCCGGCTGGGGGTGGGGGATCAGTGTGACTGGGCAGTGTTGGTGTGTATTGGAGATGACAGTTGAAGCTCCCTGGGCTGCTGAACACACAGCGTGTCTGAGAGTGTGCGCGGGTTGTCCTGTGAGGGTCTGGCGTCCAGGACCAGGCACCTAGGTTAAAAGCAACTCCCTGGGGCCCCAGCTATGTGGTCTATACCATCCCGGTTTATAACATTTGTTTACTTGACCTTAGGGGCTCCAGACAGCAAGTGCCTCTAAATTAAAAAATATTTTATGTGTACGGGTGTTTTGCCTAAACGTATGTCTGTATACCACGTGTGTGCCTAATGCCCACGGAAATGCCCAGAAGGAGGTGGATCCCCAGTAACCAGAGTTACAGACAGCTCTAAAGTGCCATGTTGGTGCTGGGAATTGAACCCAGATCTTCTACGAGAACACCCAGTGTTCCTAAACATGGAGCCTCGTTTTTCCAGCCCCAGAAAGGTCCCCCTCCCCCCGTTTTTGAAACAAGGTTTCTTTGTGTAGTCCTGGCTGTCCTGAAACTAGCTCTGTAGACCAGGCTTGCCTAGAACTCACAGAGATCCGCTGTCTCTGCCCTCTGAGTGCTGGGAGTAAAGCGCCATTACCTCTCAGCCAGAAAGGAGGTGCACAGCTCTTTGCTGCAGTACCCCACCTGGAGGTTGTGGCTAAGAAAAAGAAGGGCTGGCCGGTGGGCTGGCTCCAGAGGAGAAGCGCTTGATGCAGCCTGGGTCAGTGAGGGTGAGCATTGGTGGGTGGGGACCAGAAGAAAAGGCCAGTAGGGTGGTGACAGGAGCCGAAATCAGTGTTGCTTGCATTGCACAGAACACTGCCTTGGCCTGAGCACTCAATCCAGGGTGACATTGTCTCACGGTGTTGGACTGAGGGTCATAGCTAAACCTAGTGACCTTAGCTGAACCCCCATGGGGATTCTTACTCTTCTCTCCCTCATATATGGAGTCATAGAATGTCCTCTGCTGTCGCCGAGGCCACCCTCCTCTTCAGTGGATAAAGAATCCAAGGCCACCAGGCCAGAAGTTGTGATTGCCCCAAGGTGACACTGGCCCCCAGCCATGGGCTTCAGCCATAGACTTCCTACTCTAGAGAGCTCTAGGTGAGACTGAGCCTGGTAGCACTCCGACCTCTGACTCTCCATCTTCCGGCCTCCTGTATTTCTCACCTTAACTTCCAGCGTCATCTCCCTGGGAGTCTCTCCTGCCTGTCCCACTATCTCTCCAGCCCCAAGCGCGGATTCTCCAGCCTGCCGCCTGGTGGCATCCTCCCTCCCACCCCGCCCTCTCCATCCAGCTCCACACTTTTCCCCATCACTTCCTTTCCCCTCCTCCTCGCCTTTGTCCCTCCCTCTCTGGCTCCCTTCCCCCGCCACTGGTGGCCGGCCCGCCCCTCCCCGGGCATTGGCGGCTGCTCGCTGCCTGGCTGCTCGCACCGCGCCTGGAGCCGGCGGCGCGGGAGGTCGGCCCGCCCCCTCAAAGGCCCAGGGCAGGCGGGCGACCTGCGGGGCTCCGGCTAGTAGGAACGAACGGTCTGGAGGTCCGGGTTGAGCGGTGAGTCCTCACCCTGGTCAGCCACTGCCCCAGGCAACCGGGCGTAGACGCTCCGGTTGGGAGGGGCGTCCTGGGAAGGGTGGGCGCAATGAGGAGAATGGGGTCCTTGCCCCTCGTTGAGGCTGTGAATCTGATGGCGTTTGTGCCCAGAACGTCTTTGAGTGTGTGTGCGGGGCTGAGTTATGGAGTGACTGACTGTGCAGACCCCATCTTCCCCACCACTGAGCAGTCTGCTCCTTGGGATCCGCCTCCGGAGCCTGTTGAGGGGGTCCTGTTTAGGTTGAGGGAGCTTATGCTATGGCTAAAAGGAGTCTTTGATGGGAAGAGTCCCGGGTTCATCACCCACCGTCCATTTGGCCAGTCCATTCTATTTGTGTGGCCAGCCGGGCAGTGACTGTTGCTCTGAGTGTGCAGCATGTCTGCCCATATGGCCGTAAGCCTGTATGGTTTCTGAGTGTCTGTGTGTGAGTCTGCGTAGGGTGTTTCCCTTCTGCATCTCACAAACAGGATCCACCCTCTCCTTTGCCCAGTGTTTTCCCTCCAGATGTGCTGTTCCTCCACCCACCTGTACACAGCTGGCCTCTGAGTCCTTCTAGGCAGGGAGGACAAGGCAGGGACTTTTGACTCTGATTGGATGGCCATGGTTTCCTGGGATTCTGAAGAGAGCTAGCCCTGGGGATGTCTGAGTGAGCGGAGAGGGGGGCTTCCTAACATAGATGGCTGGCCAGGTCTCTCGGGGCAGTAGGTGCCAGAGTTGGAGCAATGCCTGCCGCCCCTGAGTACAAATAGTAAGTTAATTTGGGCCAGAGCTGCTCTGCTCTCTGTTCCGCTGCCCTCCTGCCCACTCTATTAATACAGCGCCAGTGCCTGGCACCACTATTTATAGCCCATAGCAACATGGCCACACCCCCTGTGGGGGGCAGGGCAGGGCAATGACTCCAGGCCGTAGGTGCCAAGGTAGAGGGTCCCTAGCTACCCAAAGCCTCCTTGGGTGGTTCTGGCACTGCTTGGGTAGACTCCACCTCGCCTCCCCACCTGCAGCCCAGTTTAGACTGTGTGGTCAGCCGCAGCCCCTTGCCCCCATCACCCTAGAGTTGAATGATGACCCTTAAAACTCGGCATTAATTAGTCTGTTAAATATTCGGCTGAAAGGGGATGGGCGACTGGCTTTTCCTGAAACAGCTGTAGTTGTAATTTGGTGGATGGCTTGGGTGACTATTATTTATCCCAGTTATGATTACTATGGGATTAGCCCCTCTGATTGGTGGCTTGGCAGGGAAGGCTTTCCCTGCTCTCCCAACCACCCATCAGCCTTTAGAACTGTTGGTGCCGTCTGCCTGGGAGGGCCTGTGGGTGTGCCAAAGTAGTGGGTGGCTTTGTCAGATACAGGTCTCTGCCGTGGTTGGGCGTCTTAGACTGAGAGCCCCTCAGTGTCCAGGGTCTCAGAATCGGGCCTCTGAGTTCAGTAGGGGAGCCCTGTCCAAGTACCCACTTGGCCTGGGATGTCCCTTGCCCTTGCAGCCTTCCCTGAGCTGAACCTGCCTCAACGTCCTGGAATGTTGACTTCCCTGCCAGTCAGAGCCCAGACTGGCATGAAGCATGGGGCACTAGGTAGCACCGGATTGGGTAGCCAGGAGGTTGGGGCTGGGAGTGTGGACAAATTGGAAGACTCAGTAGTGGAGAGCCCTAGGGCTCTGACTTCTTCCAGTAGGCCTCTTCTGCAGGAGCCTGGAAACACCTGGCAAGGCCAGGAGGAGGAATTCTGCCAGCCAGGCTTAGGCGCCTGCGGGCACACCTGCTGCTGTGCACACTCCTGGGCCCCTGGCTACATTTTCTGGCTCCCACATACCCACCTCCTTCTATGCACTCGTACTTCCTGGACAGGACTGGGCTTGTGTCTCTTGCCTGGGAATGTGCTTGGCTCAAGCTGAGCCCAGTGGCGTAGAACTGGCTAGATTCTATGGGAGACCAAGAAACAGTCGGGGGGATGGGGGAGATGCTTTGTCCAAAAGAGAGAAGCACTCGCTCTCTAGATGCTCAGAGAGGGTTGTAGCACTCCTGAAGCCATATCACAGGAAGGAACTAGAGTAAGTTCTGAGTCCCACTAGGTTGTTTTGTTTGTCACCATATTGTGTGTGTGTGTGTGTGTGTGTGTGTGTGTGTGTGTGTGTGTGTGTGTGAGTGAGACTCAGGAAGATGCTGCCTCTCCAACTAACCCTTTTACCCCAGGCAATTCGTTGGATCACAGGTACACATTGGTGGTGGTTGTTCTTTCTTTCTTCTTTCTTTCTTTCTTTCTTTCTTTCTTTCTTTCTTTCTTCCTTCCTTCCTTCCTTCCTTCCTTCCTTCCTTCCTTTCCTTTCCTTTCCTTTTCTTTTCTTTTCTTTTCGTTTTTAGATTTATTTACTGTATGTGTAGTGTTTTGCTTGCCTGTATGTAAGGGTACCAGATGCACACCTTGTGCCCTCAGACACCAAAAGAAGGCATCACAGTCCTTGGAACCGGAGTTCAGGTGGTTTTGAGCCACCACGTAGGTGCTGGGAGCCAAACTCCAGTCTTCTTCAAGAACAGCGAGTGCTCTTACCCACCAGCCATCTTTCCAGCCCCCAAGGGTTCATTTTTTTCTGAAGAACCTTTTCTACTTCTGGAGAATTTTTGCATACACAGTCTTACTAACCCTGGGAGATCTGGCAGTATCAAGTGCCCCATTTTTATGAGAGAACTAGCTTGCAGTGGAGTGGCATCACCTGAAGATTTTGTAGCTAGTGCGGAGCTAGCAGGAGGACTCTGATTTGGGGAACTTACCTGTCAGTGGTCTTTCCTACTCTGACTTTTGCTGTGCATCTCATCACTGGGCTCCATCGTAGGGCAGATACGCATTGTATGGACACCGAGTACGGGCGGGGTTGGCTCTTGGGAGCTGACCGTAAGCGTGCTAGTGTTGTGGTTGGGGTGGCTAAGTGATTGCTGTCTCTGCAGGCTGCATGTTGTGTCTGGGCCAGTCCACCTTCCTGCGCTTTAACCACCCCGCTGAAGCCAAGTGGATGAAGAGTATGATTCCAGCAGGGGCCCGGGCCCCAGGGCCCTCCTACAACCCTGGCTCTGGTAAGTAGTATCCAGCTAGGACATGGGTCTGGGTGAGTGGCACCCCCTTAGACATGTGTCCTTGCCCATTCCAACTACTCTTGAAGTGTTAGGGCAGGACAATACCAGTGGTCTGGGCTCGCTGCCACCTGCCATGAGCTGGTGGAGAATGCTAGGCCATGGGGTCACTGGAAAAGATCCAAGGCAATGCTGCTTGGATCAAGCTGGGAAGTTATGTGCCTTGAGGATCTACAGGTTCTGTTCACCTGTAACCCTACGGCCTTGGTAGTTGACTCCATGTCTGGGACCCTGGCCCTCTTATGTTGCCAGAGTGTGTCATTCAAGGGGACGGGAGTGTTATGGTGAACCCTTAGTAGCTTCTTGGTCCCCCCTGCTGGTGATCATGTCCGGAGGCCCTCGGGCCATGCCATGCCATGCTGACCAATGACTCAGAGAACAGCTGCAACTTGTGTGTGAATTATTGATCCCGGGAGGAGAATTGGCGATTGTTCTAGGAATCAACACAGGCCCCTCAGCCAGCTGCCTAGGGGGTGGGGACGCTAACAGGGTGCGTGCCACCCTAAGCTCTGCAGTGGCGTTCAGATGGCTGTGGGACTAGAGGGGCCAAGGCTGATGCTGTGGCAGGCGAGCAAGTATGTCAGGGTCACTCGATGGGATGATCATTTGTGACCTCCGTAGTTGGGTGACTTCACGACAGGCAAGTGGTCACTGGGAACGCATGGTGGCCACTCTGATTTAGTCAGTCTTGCAAACCCATCCTATTCTTCGCTCCCTGCTCCAATGTTTTTCAGTTCCCTAGGGGCTCACTGTGCCCCCACCCCAGCCTGGTCATGTTACTTCTTTAACTGTTCTGGTATTGCTTCTGTGGATTCTAAACTCGTGGGTGGTTGACAAAGGCTAGGGCCAGGCAAAAGCTGGCTCTTGCTGGTTGGTTTTAATGGAATAATTGGAGACACTAGGCTGTACCTCGAGGCTCCTCAGCCAGGCTTCCAGGAACAAGCCATTAGCAAATCCTTCTCTTGTGTGGGATTGGATAAACTGGCACGGCTGTCACTGCTCATCCAGCCCTGGGGCCCCCACCCCAGGCTCTGACTGCTGGATTGAGAGGCTCTAGTGGCCTCTTAGACTGAGTAGCCCTGGAACTTCTGGCCAGCTCTACAGTAGATCCACACCTCTTTTGCAGTGTGCCCACCTGCTCTTCCTAAAAGAGGCACGGAAAGTTAGGGAAACCAGGGCAAGGAGGACTATACTGTTGGGGTGAGCTGGAAACAGCTAGGCTTAGAAGTAAGTACCTGTTATTGTTGCTGACTCTGTCCTGAGTCATTCACTGTTAGAGCCAGGAAGGTCCTGCCTATCATCCTCCTTGAAAGGAGGGGACTTCGGGGCACAAGAGTTTGGCTAAGGTTGCAGAACAGGTCAGTGGCAGAGAGGGCTGGTGCCAAAACTCGTCTCCTCTGGCCCCACTGCCCTGGGATGACATTGGGTGGTATTTTCTTACTTGTGCATGTGTGTGGCTCCCTGAAGCCAAAAAAAAACAAAACAAAACAAAACAAAAACAACAGCAACAAAAACAGAACAGAGCTTGAGGCCTCTTTACTTTTCCTCTCAGCCGAATCAGAGAGCCTGGTGAATGGGAACCACACGGGCCAGCCTGCAACCCGGGCACCTCCAGCCTGTGCCAGCCACAGTTCCCTGGTGAGCTCTATCGAGAAGGACCTGCAAGAAATCATGGACTCGTTGGTGCTAGAGGAGCCTGGAGCTGCCGGCAAGAAGCCCGCAGCCACATCCCCGCTGTCACCAATGGCTAATGGTGGCCGCTACCTGTTGTCCCCTCCAACCAGCCCCGGTGCCATGTCTGTGGGCTCCAGCTATGAGAACACCTCTCCAGCCTTCTCTCCTCTTTCCTCACCAGCCAGCAGCGGAAGCTGTGCCAGCCACTCACCCAGCGGGCAGGAGCCAGGACCGTCTGTGCCTCCACTGGTGCCTGTCCGTTCCTCTAGCTACCATTTGGCTCTGCAACCCCCACAGCCTCGTCCGAGTGCAACCCGTTCCTCTGAAAGTCCTCGGCTGGGCAGAAAAGGGGGCCATGAGAGACCTCCCAGTCCTGGTCTCCGGGGCCTTCTGACTGACAGTCCTGCAGCCACCGTCTTGGCTGAGGCCCGCAGAACCACCGAGAGCCCCCGCCTGGGTGGGCAGTTACCTGTGGTGGCTATCAGCCTGAGTGAATACCCATCTTCTGGTGCCCGCAGCCAACCCACAAGTATTCCTGGCAGCCCCAAGTTCCAGTCTCCAGTCCCTGCTCCCCGAAATAAGATTAGCACACTCCAGGAGCGCCCTCCCAGTCCAGGAACTGGCACAGAACGGGTGTTAACGACCAGTCCCTCTCGACAACTGGTGGGCCGAACATTTTCAGATGGGTCCGCAACCCGTACCCTGCAGCCTCCTGAGAGTCCTCGCTTGGGCCGACGAGGCCTGGACAGTATGCGAGAACTGCCCCCCTTGAGTCCGTCTCTGTCCAGAAGGGCTCTGTCTCCACTGCCAGCCAGGACTACCCCAGATCCCAAGCTAAGCAGGGAAGTGGCTGAGAGCCCTCGGCCCAGGCGCTGGGCAGCTCATGGGACTTCGCCAGAGGACTTCTCCCTGACTCTGGGAGCACGGGGCCGCAGGACTCGGAGTCCCTCACCTACACTTGGGGAGTCCCTGGCACCTCGCAAAGGCAGCTTCAGTGGCAGGCTGAGCCCAGCCTATAGTCTGGGCTCCCTTACTGGGGCTTCACCTCGTCAGAGCCCCCGTGCTCAGAGGAAACTTTCTAGTGGGGATTTGCGGGTGCCTATCGCAAGGGAGAGGAAAAACAGCATCACGGAGATCAGTGACAATGAGGACGATCTTTTGGAGTACCACCGACGACAGCGCCAAGAGCGGCTCCGGGAACAGGAGATGGAGAGGCTGGTGAGCCGATGCCAGGGAAGCTGCCGCTGCCCAAGGCAGTGCATCTGCCAGGGTGTGGGCAGGCCAGCTGGCAGAGTAGGAGAGGCCATGTACAGGGCCTGGGCTTCTGCAGGATAAACCGTCGGGATAAGTGACCAGTATCTCATGGTCCTGGTGCTGTGAAGAGGAGCCTGCCTTGAAATCTCTAGGGCTTTTAAACTTTTCCTTGTAGTGTGTGTGTATGCATGTGCAGGTGTGTGTCTGTGTGCAGGCCAGAGGTTAGTGGATAGTGTCTTCCTCAGCTGCCCTTCAGGTAGATCTCTTTGAGTTCAGGTCGACAGAGAAAAAGAAAAAGAAAGCCGGGTGATGGTGGCGCATGCCTTCAATCCCAGCACTTGGGTGGAAGAGGCAGGCGGATCTCTGTGAGTTCGAGGCCAGCCTCGTCTACATAGCTAGTTCCAGGACAGGCTCCAAAGCCACAGAGAAACCCTGTCTCGAAAAACCAAAAAAAGAAAAAAGAAAGAAAAGAAAAAGAGAGGAACATTTGTTTAGCTTTCTCTTTTTATAGTGCGAGACAGCCTAGGACCTTTGTTATACTAGGACAGCACTCTTACCACTGAGCTAGAGCCCAGCCCCAGAATTATTTTTATTTCCTATTCCCCCGCTTTTTTTTTTTTTATTGGTTTGGGTCTCACTATAAAACCCAGTTTGGCTGCACGCTTGCTATGTGGTCCAGGTTGGGTCAAATTCATAATCTTCCTACTGCCTTCTGCATACTAAGATTACACACATGCATCACTATGCCTGGATTGTGTGTGTGTGTGGTGGTGGTGGGGTTTCCTCTTTTGTTTTGTTTTGTTTTGTTTTTCGAGACAGGGTTTCTCTGTGGCTTTGGAGCCTGTCCTGGAACTCGCTCTGTAGATCAAGCTGGTCTCAAACTCACAGAGATCCACCTGCCTCTGTCTCCTGAGTGCTGGGATTAAAGGCATGTGCCACCACTGCCTGGCTACACACATCTCAGACTGGCCTTGAACTAACTCCAGATCCTCCTGCCTCTTTCAGCAAATCCTACCGGCCTGCGCCACCAGAACTGGTGGGTTCCTATTCTAAAGCATTTATTTATTACCAGCCTGTGTGTGCATGGGTGTGTTGCTGGAGGCCTATGGCATGGTGAGCGTGTGGAAGCCAGAAGACAGGTTTCGTGGAGTCTCTCTTTCCTTCCATCTTTACGTGGGTTCCAGGGCTCAAACTCAGGTCATCAGGCTTACACGGCCAAGCACCTTTACTTGGGGCTTGTTCTTTATGGGGCGCCCTTGTCCCCCTTTCTTGCTTCTCTTTGGCCTCTGAGTGGGCGTGAACCCACTCTGGCCCTGGTGGGTCCTCTATGGTACTAAGGTAGAGGAAGCAGGTTGGGCAGCCCCTGGCTGCCTCCGTGGTTGTGTGATTGTATGTGTCTGCGTGCATAAATGGTGCTGCTGAGTCTGGGTGTGGTTCTGGGCAGCTGTCCTAGAGATGGCATCTGCGCTGGGAGGGGGCTGGGATTCCCCCAAATAGCATCGGGAGCTCCAGGGGCATGGACTGCTGGGTATAGCATGCTCAGAACCCACATGTGAGAACATGGATTCTCCCTTCCTTCTCTTGAGAGCAGAAGCCCAGGATCTTGGGGGACACAGGTACTCTGGAATTGGTTTGAGGAGGACATTTGCCTGAAGAATCTGGGAAGAAGCTGGTCCTTTTGGGGTGAGGGTGTGGGGCAGTACACTTGTGGGAGGCAGGACCCCTAGTCTTTGTCCTATGCCATCACTGTGATACTGTGGCTATGCTGGATCTTCATCCTGAGAGGGATCATGAGCCTTGGCACATCAGTGCTGGGCCCAGCCTCCCCACTCCAACCCCACACACAGGTACACACCTCACCACCAGCCCCAACCTGCCCCACCTGCCACTTTAAGTCAGAGGCCGCCCGCCCGCACCCTGCCCCTCCTACCTTAGCCAGGCTGCTTATCTGGGTCCTAGGGCGGGGGTGAGGCATTGGCCCAACCTCCTGGGTGCTAAGGCTTGGTTCCTGGAGGATTTATTTTTGCCACAGAACTGGGCAAGCCGCAGGAAGGAAGCCAGGTGAGTCTTGTGGGGTGGAGAGTTGAGGCCACAATGTAGGCGGTGACAGAGATTTGATGTCAGAGACCCCAGAAACCCTGTCAAGGTCTGGGCTTGAAAGTCAGGGCTGGGGTGTTAACATGTAGGTGGACGAGTAGGACGGAGACCAGAAACATGACTGCCATTGTTCCTTCGCCTCCTAGGCACCTAAGAGGTGACCATTTCTTTGTCAGGATTTATAGTGAGAGAATAGACTGACAGCCGCAGAGTACTTGCTCACACCTAGCTAGCTGAAGTTGCCAGTAAGGAGCAAAGGGTTGGCTGCCTGAGTGACTTGGAGCTGAGGCAGGACAGGAGGAAAACGAGGAAGACAGTGTCCTCTCTGCCTTTTCTCCCTGTTTCTGGACTGTCAGGTCCTGTGGCCCGTGGTCTGCTTTCAGACCTTGTCTGTCTGCAGGTGCCCACCCAGCTGTGTGCAGACTATGTTTATCTGTGTGTGTGTGTGCGCGCGTGTGCATGTCGGGGCTGGTGTCTTTGTGTGTACCTACCTGTTAATGCTGATGTACCTCCCAGCACACATGGAGGGTCTGTGTGTGCCTATGTAGAACTGGTGATCCGTGTGCCCCTGTGCCGGAGCCTGTGTGTGCACCTCTGTCACCAGAGCACGGGGTGATTCTGTGTCTCAGGATGGTCTTTAGGCTACTGATCGCTGTCTGTTCCCGTGTGTGTTTGGATGTGTCCTCATGTGACTATGAAGAAGCCTCGGGTAGAATGAAAAGGGAAAGGAAACAGGACAGTGGGAGGGGCCGGCCACATGGACAGGTGGCATGTGGCCTTATTCTCTGGCCCACTTTTGAGGGACCCTCTTTCCCTCCTCCCTCCCCCACAGGATTATTTTATTTGATTTGATTTTCTGAGACAGGGTTTCTTTGTGCAGCCCTGACTGTCCTGAAACTTGCTCTTGTAGACCAGGCTGGCTTCAAACTCACAGAGATCCACCTGCCTCTGCCTCCTGAGTGCTGGAATTAAAAGCATGTGCCACCATACCCGGCTGAATTTTTTTCATTTTTTATTTTTATTTATTTTTTAGTTAGGGTCTCACTATGTAGTCTTTGGCTGGTTAGCCTGAATCTCACTAAGTAGACCAGGCCTCAAATTCTGAGATGTGCCGGTCTCTGCCCTTCTGAGTGCTGGATAAAGGTGTGCACAGCACTTGTCTTTCCCACAGGTCTTAAGGTTGAGGCTGTCCTCATGATGGTGAATCCCTGGTGTTCAGCACACCCTGACTTGGGCCACCCTAGATCTCAGACTTCGTTCCTTATGCTCTGTCCGCCCGTGGTCCCTAGGAACGCCAGCGCCTGGAGACCATCTTGAACCTGTGTGCCGAGTACAGCCGAGCTGACGGGGGACCCGAGGCTGGGGAATTGCCGAGTATTGGAGAGGCCACTGCAGCCCTGGCATTGGCAGGGAGGAGGCCCTCAAGAGCCTTGACAGGAGCCACAGTGGTCTCTGGAAGGAGCGGTGAGGAGTCTGGAGGTGCCTCGCAGCGCCTGTGGGAGAGCATGGAGCGCTCTGACGAAGAAAACCTCAAAGAAGAGTGCAGCAGCACGGAGAGCACCCAGCAGGAGGTTAGGGGCCGCGGGGGCGGGGCCAGGAGCTGATTGATGGGTGCAGCAGCACGGGGAGCACCCAGCAGGAGGTTAGGGGCCGAGGGGGCGGGGCCAGGAGCTGATTGATGGGTGCAGCAGCACGGAGAGCACCCAGCAGGAGGTTAGGGGCCGAGGGGGCGGGGCCAGGAGCTGATTGATGGGTGCAGTAGCACGGAGAGCACCCAGCAGGAGGTTAGGGGCCGAGGGGGCGGGGCCAGGAGCTGATGGGAATGCTAGGGCCCAGTAAGGAGGGGTAGTGAAAAAGGATCAAGGTGAAGAACTGTGGAAGCTAAGAGGAAAAGGGAGGTGACCATGACTTTCCCAAGCTATAAATGTGCTTTATGACCTGTTTTTCTTTGGGGCCCCACCCAACTCTGGCACTCTGGTAAATCTTTTCCCTATAACTGAGCTCCTTGGCTGGGAGGGAAGTAGTCTCCTGTTTTAGCCTAGTTACCCCATTCAAGTAGTTTGAGGAATGTGTGATCCACACCCTCTCAGTCCTTCTGATCCCGGAAGGTTTTAGGCTTCCTCCATGGGTGGCTCTCCTCCCCTCCAGCATGAAGATGCTCCTAGCACGAAGCTCCAGGGAGAGGTGCTGGCTGTGGAAGAGGAGCGGGCTCAGGTGCTGGGGCGCGTGGAACAGCTGAAGGTCCGAGTAAAGGAGCTGGAGCAGCAGCTGCAGGAGGCAGCCCGAGAGGTGAGCTGCCTGGGAGGCCCCCAGGCTCTGGGATGGGGCCCCCCGCCCTGAGTTCCCTGCCTTGATGAGGGTCCTGGTGTCTGTGTGTCCTGGTGTCTGTGTGTCCTGGTGTCTGTCTAGGCTGAGATGGAGAGGGCACTGCTGCAGGGGGAGAGGGAGGCAGAGCGGACACTGCTGCAGAAAGAACAAAGGGCAGTGGACCAGCTGCAGGAGAAGTTGGTGGCCTTGGAGACCGGCATCCAGAAGGAGAGGGACAAGGTAACCCATACCTGACTGCCTGTGGCCCAGAAGAAGAGAAAATGCTTTCTGTAGGGCTGTACATCCCTCAACATCCATCCTGCACACCACATGGTCTCTGTAACCCTCCAGGGACGGGGCGGGGGGGGGGGGCTTGTTCTCTATGGAAGGTACAAGCTTGGATGGTACTGCCAGGGGCTGGGCTGGTGTTTGGGGTCTCATTTAGCTGGATCTCTGTGCTACTTCTGGTTGCCTGGGTGCCTGCCATTCTGGAGCCTGCGTGGTTCTTCTAGGAAGTGCCAAAGCCCTTTCTTGGGCAGTGAGTACAACCTGAAGGACTGGTGCTGCTGGGGTGGGGGACATGATTCAGGTTTGGGACCCCCGTAGGGTGAAGCACTCTCCAGCATGCTCAGGTGCTTAGGATGTGGTCTTTGGGAGATGGCCCACAGGCTTCTGTTTCCTGTCATCAGAATCTGCAGCCTCCCATCCCAGATGGTCCCAGCTCATGCCCCTGCCCCCTTCAGATTTCGTGCCTGTCTTCAGGGGCTGTTTCGTCCCACAAGGGTTGTGCCAACCATGTCCAAGATGCCCAACAGCGTGCCAAAAAGCTCTGGAGTGGAGAGGGTTCATCTATTTCTGGATTTGACAGTATTTTTCTAAGAAGTTTTAATTTTCCTTCTGGATTATTTTTTTGAGAGTTATCTTCCTCTTTTTCTCAATTTTGAGAATCTTAAAATTCATTGCTCCCCTTTTATTTACGGAGCTTTGGCTCTGGCCCCCAAAACCACACTCCCAGATTCTGTGCCAAATTAACCCACTGCTTGCCGACCAGGCCTGCACTAACGCCCCTTCTAATCACTGTCCTGGGCTCTCCGCATGCCCCTAACTGCCAGGCCACCCAGGCAGGGCTGAGTCATGCCAGCTTTACTAACTCCATGGGTGCCCTCGTGCCCCTGGTCTCGCCCCTCTAATGTTGCCTCTGTCTTTTCTTGATGCGGGACCCCATGATCAGAAAGGAACTGGCAGAAAGGCACAGCTAAATTTTGCTTAGTGGATCATTGACAGGAGAGGTACGAGGATGTGTGTGTTGGGGGAAGATGTACATGGCCAAAGATCTGATCTGCCCAGACAGCGCCTTCTGCTGGAAAGGCCTGGGCTGCTGCCTTCAGGATGTTGAAGGGCGGGGGTTGGAGGTGAGCTGTTGGTACCTCCTGTCTAGCCCTTTGGAGCTGAGTGCTTAGGAGGTCCAGATGTGAGCTTGGAGGACTTGGACAGGGTCTTTCTGCCCACTGAGTGGCTATCCATTCTTGCTGAATTCAGATGGTTCCTTCCCTCTATTCCTGGAGGCCACCTAGAACACAGGATAATTTAAAGACAGTAGTGTCTGGACCTCAGGACCTGACCTGAGCAAGGCCTTCCCTCTGTTAGGTGAGCTGGGCTGATGCAGTGAGCTGGGCAGGTGTAGCAAGGAAGTCTGTTTCTTAGGAGTGAGGCATTTCACAAGCAACTTGGCTAGCCTCAGTTAACTAAGATTGCTCTGGGGCCCGGATCTCGACTTCCCTTTGGTCCAGGTGTTTGAGGTGGTGATGGTGGTGATGGTGGTGGTGAGGAGGTTTTCTTGACTTTCCCTCCCAGCTTCCAGCCCATGGCCTCACTCTGGCTCTGGAATCAGTAATCAGTTTCTCCTCTGCCTGTCCTTCGGAGGGGTGACTCACCAACTCCTCCCTTAGTCCCCCTTTCCGCCCTCAGAGGTGTCATCTCGCCCCAGACAGAGCCATCCACCTCCTCCCTGTATCCACTCCTAGGGCTCCTATTACCATGGCAACGGGCCGAACTAATTGCAACCCTCATCCCCACTGAAGTTCAGCCTGCTTTGCTGGCACCCCACCCCCACCCTGGGCAGGAGGGGAGGGAGGCCATGGGGGTTGGGCTGGGGTCTCCTTGCTGCACCGCTGTAGCGCTAATATCTTCAGCTCCTCGTTTACTCTCTAACTCCTGGATTTAACCCTTCCCACCTCTCCTATTTTCCCCAGGGTTAAATTTTGGTCTCGGGACAGTGTTAGAGCTCGAGGTTCAGTTCTTGCCACGTTTCTTCAGCTTTAACTTTGGTCTGGAGCCTAAACGGAAGGTCCTGTCTTAGGACCTACCTAAACATTTTAAAGGGACCAACATTTCCACCCTGCCCCCACACCTCTGCCTTTTTTATACCTTCCCCTGCCTGAGTCCCGTCTTACAGCTCTGCTCCTTGCCTCTTGCCTCACCCACGTGCCCTCCTTCCTGTCCTGCTCTCTTCTGCCTCGGTGCTTGCCCCCCACTCCCGCTGTCCCCCTGTGCCCGCCCCTGCCCCCCTGCGCCCCGCGCCGGGCCGGAGTTGAGGAGTGTGTGTTCTCTCTCCCCTGTGCCCCGCCTCCCTCCCCTCCCGCCGACCAGGAGAGGGCGGAGCTGGCCGCGGGACGGAGGCACCTGGAGGCCCGCCAGGCGCTCTACGCCGAGCTCCAGACGCAGCTCGATAACTGCCCCGAGTCAGTGCGGGAACAGTTACAGGAGCAGCTGAGAAGGGTCAGTTCCACCAGCCCCCTCCCCCGGCCCCCGTGGGCCACCGCCCAGACCGAAGACAGGAGAGCGGTGGGACGGGACCACCTGGCCCCTGCAGTACCTGCCGGACACTAGGGTCGGTGCAGTGGCTCGGAAGGGGACCGGCAAGGTTGGGTGGGGATCAGCGCTTCAGACGGCGACGTCCACGAACAGGGCTCAGCCAACCGAGCAGAGGGAGTTGGGGAGTGGGGCCGGTTCCTTCCCCAGTTGCCCCGGGTCCAGCCCCCATAACTTTTGACTCTGTGGCCTGGTCCTCCTGGCCCAGAGTGTCTTTGAGAGCACTCCCCACCCAACCCCAGACTTCACTGTCGTTGAAGGAGGCAGACGCTCTGGAGACTGAGACAAAGCTCTTTGAGGACCTGGAGTTCCAGCAACTGGAGCGGGAGAGCCGCGTGGAGGAGGAGCGGGAACTGGCAGGCCAGGGGCTGCTACGGAGCAAGGCTGAGCTGTTGCGCAGCGTGACCAAGAGGAAGGTGTGCGCTGCTCACTCCCGGACAGGCTAGTGACAGATGGAGGCTAGTGACCTGGGGTTGAGTCACAGCCTGTGACTTTGTGAAAGTTAAGGCACAAAAGACACCTTTTCGTGTCTCCTTTTCCTAGTGATTATCAGTAAAAATGAGAGCTATAAGGCTGGTGTGAAATTAATATATAAAGGCAGAATAGAGTATGACTGTGACTAAGGCTTAGCAAGAATAGCTAGTAGTTCTAAGCCCAGGCTCTCCACAGTTTCTCAAGGGAAAGTGGAATTGGCTCACATGGGCTGGCAGTAGTTTGGCCAGTAAGAGAGACGGAGATGGAGGAAGAGACTGGCCGAGGTGCCTGGCTACCACCCTTGAATGTCATCTTATGGTGTTCACCATTGAGCCCAGGGCCTTCTGTATTCCAAGCACATACTCTGCCATTCAGCTACACCTTTATTCCTGTCCGTGCCTTTCTAGAGCTGTTGGAAGTGCTGGGATGCACACAGAGACTTAAGATCTGGATGCTAGCCTATCGACTTGACAATAGGAAGAATAACCATCTGGGTTCCTGCTTTGGTCCAGCTCAGGCAATACTGTATGCATAGTGAGAAGATGGAGCATTGTCTCTGGTCCGCTCTGATTTGCTAACGCTGTGGTCCTCTACTGATCTCAGTCACACCAAGTGTAGCTGGTGACAGAAGGCTGGGACAGGTGTTCAGAAGAAGCAGGAAAGGGTTAGGGAGGATGGTCTAGGTGATGTCCAAACTCTGTGATACCCACGTCAAAGATCCCCGTGCAGTTTTCTGGCTAGACTGAGATGGAAGGTGAGGATAGTGAGGTCTAGGGAGTAGGGTTCAGATGTGGTGAGATGGGACTTGCTGGCCAGCCCGGGTTTGATGGTCAGCGGGAACCACCGGATGTCATAGGCCCAGATCCCTCGTTCCCCTCCCTGATCTGTTCTGCCGTAAAAACACACCTATCGTGGGGGACTGGAAAGATGACTCAGGATACTGGCTGCTTTTCCAGAGGACCCAGATTTGATTCCCATCACCCACGTCACATGGTGGTTTACAATCGTCCCTAACCCCGGTTCCAGGGGATCCAGCACCTTTTCTGACCTCCTCCAGCTCCCGTACATAGGTACACAGACACACAGGCACACATATCCACATAAAATAAACATTTTTAAGATGTACTTACTGCCCTGACAGAAAATGTAGGAAAGGAAGGAAACTAAAGTTTCCCAAGCTCATGTGCCCAGCTAGGACCTCCCCTTGGGTTTTCTTGTGCTGTCCTTAGGGTGTCTCATAAGGTAGGCGCTCTGCCTCACTTTATAGATGAGTAACTAGAACTCAGAAGCCATGGTTTGCACAGAGCCTTCCAGAGTATAAACTTCAGAGTCAGAGTGGGAACGCAAGGCTGCTAGCTTCAAGGCCCAAGGCATGTTTGCTGTTCTCCATATGGTCTGGGTTGGCACCTCTTCCTGTTCCCCGTTCACCTGGAGGGAACACAACCAGGAGGCTTAGATCAGCTGGTCCCATTCATTAGTGGTCTGGAGGGAATCATCTCTAACGACTGTGTCTCTCCTCTTTGTGACCAGCCTAGGGCTCAGGAAACCTGCTCAGCCCTTAACACCTAGGGTGTGTGTGTGTGTGTGTGTGTGTGTGTGTGTTTGTGTGTGTGTGTATGTGTGGTGCTATGACATTCTTTTCTATCTTCCTTGTGAACTTAACACCTAGGGGGTGTGTGTGTGTGTGTGTGTGTGGTGTGTGCTATGATATTCTTTTCTATCCTCCCTGTGAAGTTAACACCTAGGATGTGTGCGTATGTGTGTGTCTGTATGTGTGATGACATTTTTTTCCTGTCCTCCCTGTGAGCTTTGCCCTTGTAGCTGCAGAGTTCCCTCTGGCTCTGTTTTCCCTGGAAAACAGATACAGCTGATGTATCGGTCCAGTATGGTTCTGAGTGGTTGAGAAAGCTGGCCTTGGAATCCTCCAGATCTGGTGTTAGTCCTAAGTCTACCACTACCCAAAAGATTCTAACCCTAAACATCTCTAAAATGGGCATAAAAGCACCTGCTTCATAAGATTAGATGGAGTAACAGATTTAAAAAAAATAACATTCGGGAGCACCCCAGTCCTCCTCGGTTAGAGTAAGTGGCTGCTGTTGCCAGGAGGGTTCCTGTCTGTGGGGGCGGAGGGAGGCTTGGCCTGGGCTGACTCCAGGTTTAGGATAGCTCCCTTCTCCTTGCTGCCTTCACCCATGCTGCTCGGAAGAGTGGTGGTTTAAGACCGTCTAAGATTTAACACACTTTGCCTGAGCTCTCATCTTTTCCTCTCAAAATGTTTTCATTTTCTTTTAGCATATGATTGTTGAGCCAGGGACTGCACTAAGCCCTGTTGGGGTGTGGAGACAGAAATGGCACTGGTCTGCCCTGATCTTACGGGAGGGCGGAGGTGGTGTTGGAGACAGTCACAGATCACAGTAAGGCGAGGTGGATGGATGTGGACTAATGTGAATACGGAGACAGGAACAAGGAAATGGAATGGCAGTCAAGGAATGCTTGGAGAGGAGGAGGAGCCTCCCTCCTGGGCCAAGAGGGTGATGGATGAGGACTAAGTCTACAGTGGCACAGAGCGCAGCATGGTAGAGCCAGGGTGTGTGGAGGGACCAGTGGGCGGGGCACCGGCTCTGAGAGCCCTCCAATGCTGGGTAGGGAGTTTGTGTTCTGTCTGGGGCTAGTAAAGAGCCACAAAAAGGTTTTGAGGACATGGGTGATTTGGCCTTGCTGTTTTTTGTGTTGTTTTTTTTTTATGTTTATTTATTCGAATGTTCTGCCTTTTTGGGTGTCTGTATACCATGTATGTGTTGGCTCCCCTGGGACTGGAGTTACAGGAAGTTGTGAGCTGCCATGCAGATCCTGGGAATTGAACCCAGGTCGTCTGGAAGAACAGCCAATGCTCTTAACCCTTGAGCCATTTTTCCAGGCCCCACTTGCTGAGTTTTTGTTTTGTTTTGGGGGAAGGTTCTAATCAGGGTTTCTCAGTAACTTTGGAGCCTGCCCTGGAACTCACCTGTAGACCAGGCTAGCCTCAGACTCACAGAGATCCACCTATCTTTGCCTCCCGAGTGTTGGGATTAAAAGCACTCACTACTACCACCCAGCTCTTGTTGAGTTTTTTAAAAGTTACTGAAAAGCCACAGTTGTGGTCCACACTTGAGTTCTAAGGTTATGTCCCAGTTTCTCTGGGATGAGGCAAAAAGAGTGCTTGAGCCCAGGAATTCAAGTCCAGCCCAAGGAGCAGGAGACCTCATCTCCAAACTAAAGGAAAAGATGTGGCAATGGTTCAGTCTGAGGAGGCTGAGGCAAAAAGATCGCCTTGAGTTCAAGACTTGCCTCGACCTCAAAGTCAGTTTAAGGCCAGTCTGGACTTACAGAGTGTGTTAAAGCAAGCCTGGACTATCTAGTGAACTTAAAGACAGTTCGGTTTATTTAGCAAGACCAAAAAACCAAAATCAGGCAGATAATATTACATAAGTAATATGGCATTCTTTTTAGGATGTGAGGAAATTCAGATAACCGAACAAGGTTCGGAGGCTACTTTAGGAAAATGGGTAGAAATGCAGAGTGGATCTAAACATTGAGAGAGAGAGAGAGAGAGAGAGAGAGAGAGAGAGAGAGAGAGAGAGAGAAAACAAACCCCAGCAGGAAGTGGAGGGCCCGAATTCTAGTGATGGGGAATGTGAGGGGGTCGGCAGAGGGCTCACTGTTCAGTGTTACCGCTTTAGGAACCATTGGCTACATGGTGAGGGAATAGAGGATTGGTTGCAGCTAGCTCGTCTAGTGACACAAGGTCACTGGGTGAGAGAGGAACGAGGGAAGGAGCTGACCTCTTTAGCCAGGATTCTTCTGGGGTGAGTTGAAGCCAAGCAGGAGAGTATGATGGTTACTGTCACAGACTCCTTGGTCTTTGGACAGGAGATTCAGCCAAACTTTGGGCTGAGTTATGTCCCTCCAGGGCCTGATTTCATCCCTTTTCCTCAGGAGCGCCTCGCTGTACTGGACAGTCAGGCTGGGCAGATCCGGGCCCAAGCACTGCAGGAGTCAGAGCGTCTGGCCCGGGACAAGAATGCCGCCCTGCAGCTACTGCAAAAGGTAGCTGGCCTTGAGTCCCGGGAGAGAGACACGGGGTGGGATTGCCCGCACAGGAGTTGGGTGCGGGCCCTCCCTCTTGGCTTCCATGGCTCTGACCCTGCTGTCCTGGCCTCCAGGAGAAGGAGAAACTGACCGTGCTCGAGAGGCGATACCATGCACTGACGGGCGGGAGGCCTTTTCCGAAGACCACCTCAACCCTCAAAGAGGTAACACGGCTGGCTGGGTTAGCCCCAGCGTTAGGCTTGGGGGATGCGGGAGACTCAGGAGCAAGGTGTGCCACCTTCATCTTGGGTGGTTGAGTGAGGTGCACTTCCTGTCAAGATTAGAAGAAGATGGCCTTGGGGGCTGACCTCTTCACAACCACCAGCCTCTAGTTGCCTTTGGCACCTCACACTTTTTGGGTGGCTGAGTTTATGTGAGAGGCCCAGGGTCCCTAGGAGGGGTGGTGGAGAGCTCAGAATTTGGAATGGCTCAGGACTGGGTGAACCTCGCTAAAGAGGAATACAGGGACCATGGATCATTACCCCAGGCCTCCTGGGCTTCTGTCTAAAGCTAGGCTTTCAGCCTAGAAGGGGGCCTTAAGTTGAATGGTTCTTTCCCAAATCTTCACTTCTAGTGTGGGAAGTCCAGCTGGTTTCCCGACATTTCTCTCCTTTTCTCTGTCTTATTGCCCAGACAGCTTAGGTCTGGAGCAGGGGGTTGAGTTGAGCATTAGGGGTGAGGCCCCTCTCACCCACCATGTGTCCTCTTGTAGGCTCAGCTGTCCATCTCCGTGTCCTCAGAGATGGGGCTGGAGACCAAGGCTCTGGGCCCATCCCCAAGGTCTTCTCAGGCTGGGGCGTCCTCTGTTCCCTTAACCCCTCCTGCTTCCACTCAGCTCTGTCCAAAAGCACAAGAGGTAACGGCAGCTGCCTGCCTGCTCTGCTTTGCCCTCTGCCTGTCTGCCTGCTAACCAAACTCCTGCCTCCGGCACTTCCCAGGGAGGGCGGAAGGGCATGTGGCATCTCCTTGGGCTGGCAGTTTGAGAGTTTGCGTGAGTGTGCCATCTTGTCATTCGCGGAGTGCCTGGGCAGCCCATACTGGATGTTAGCGTGCTTTTGCCTTTGCGTTTGCTTGCGGTCTGCACGCCATTCTCTGATGCTCACGGCACACTGAACTCTGCCTCATCTTCCTTTTCTCTGACCCCAGAAGATAGCGTAGCTCTGGGGCTAGATGGGGTGCCCTGGATAGGCAGCCTAAGGATCCTGTGCTTTGGCTAAGCTCACTGTGGGTGACCAGCACCCAGATCACCTCAAGGCTTGGGGACTAGTGATGGAGTATCCAGTTCCTGTCCTCCAGCCTCCAGTAAAGTGGACTGATGCTTTTCCAAGTACTTACCCAACCCATTTTCCTGCCTGCTCTCTGCCGACGCCAGGCCTGTTTCTCAGTTTGTCTCGTTCAGGCCTTAGTGGTCTCTCCTCTCGCCTGTTCTGATATTCGACCCTTGGGGACCTGTCCTCTTCCTGGGCAGTGCCATGACTAGTATTTAGCACTGCATGCGTGTGCCCAGCTGGGGATGCCCAGTGTGATAGAGGCAGATGGGACTCTAGGAGCTGGGTTCTGATTCTCACTGGGCTTTTGGAAGGAAGACCTTCTCTAGGCATCCTCACTTGCTCCCTGCCCAGTACCAATTCATATATGGCTGTGTTGGTTTTTCTCTGGGCAGCAACTAAATGCTACACTCATCTCCAAAGTAGAGGTCGAGCAGAGCCTTCCGTAGTTAGTTCTGCCTCCCTCTTTCAAGCCCACTTTCCCCCCAGCCGTTGTGGCCATACTTGGCTGCCGAGTGCCCTGTTCCACTGTGGACTCTGCAGCGATGTGAAGTAGTGACTCTAGCCTGGCATGGAGTGTGGAGATATTGAGGACTTGATCGAACCTGTTAACCTCTTCTCTGTCCCCCACCCTGGGCACCCTAGGAGTATGTGAGCCTGGCTGAGGTTCTCCAGTTCTGCTTTCGCTTGGACCCCTATGCTTCTGCTGCCTGCCCCGCCAGACTCCCCCAGTCCCTGCCTGACAGCGAGGTACCAGCCACAGAGTGTGCCCACCTATGCCCAGGGGCCTCCATTGCCTCTCAGCCTGGGTGGGGGCCAGGGGCAAAGGGGTCTTGAGCTTGGCATAGAGGGTTGAACACGGTTCATCTTCTTCCGTGGGATCTTAGGAGCTCTCCTCAGCACCCAGTGGTCTGGGAAGGCCAAACCCTGTCTTTTCATCTCCAAGGAGACTCAGAGTTGACCTTCTAAACTGCGACCTTTCTCCTCCCCAGTGGTCAGGGCCATATCTTGGGTTCTGCTCCCATTAACCTCTTGTATTCCCTCCTGTGGCTGGCCGCCTCTCAAGTACGTGACGCTTGAGCAGCTAAAAGTGATGTGGGGCACCTCACCCATGCCCCCAGCCCCTTCGCCAGGCCTGCCTTCCTGGGCTTCTGCCTCCCGGGACCTGGTTCCCATCACCCGTCTTCCTCCCACGCTGCCCTCTTCTTCCTTCGCTTCCATCACGCCTTCATCTAAGGTTGGTGGTCTGTGTGTCCTCGCTACCCCCATTCCATGGCTGGCGTGACTGTGTGTGTGTGTGTGTTGCCCCCGCTCACTGGCCTCTGAGTTTTAAGCCAGCTGAGGGCCTAAGTCTATGTCTGATGACTGCAGGTGCCAGGCTGACAAAGCACAAGTCTGTGCCCTAGAACTTGTGTCCTGACTGTTTCTCTTTGCTCCCAGCCCCGTCCTTGTGACTGTTGCCTTACTGTTTTTCTCTTCTTCTCCTGATGCTCTCCTCCCTCCCTCCCTTCCTCCCTCTTCCTTTCCTTCCCATTTCCCTGTTGCGGCCTCTCTTTCCCTTCCCGCCTTCTTTTTCTTCTTCCCATCTCTCCCCTCCCGTCTCTGCCCTTCCTCTCCATCCTTGCCTTCCCCATGCCCCTCCAGATGGAGAAGCTGCTGCTCCCTGCTGTAGACTTAGAGCAGTGGTACCAGGAGCTGATGGCCGGGCTGGGGACTGGCCTCGCTGCAGCCTCCCCTCGCTCCTCTCCCCCGCCTCTGCCTGCCAAAGCCTCTCGTCAGCTGCAGGTAACCTTCGCTGCCTGTCTTCCCAGGTCCTGTGCATGTCCGCTCTGAGCACGCACTGCCAATCCTTCAGGCACAACGTACACCTTGTCATGTGGTTACCCAGCAGGGCACGGAGAGGCCTGTAAGCCCAGAGAGGGCAACAAGGGTCTTTTCCTGGGCATCCATCTTGCCATTTTGGCACTTTGGGAAGCTAGGGAGTCCAGCACCTGAGTCCATGGGGGTTGGGATTGAGTGACCATTAGAAGGACATTTTCCCCAGAGTTTCTCACGCGGACTGGGGGCTTGACGTGCCCTCGGGCCTGCTGTCACTCAGGGAAGCTGCTGGTATTTTATTTTCCCGGTCTTCTCATGGGTGATACTTGGAGGCAGAAAAGAGGGTGGCAGGTTCTCCGAAGTGACAGCCCTAGAAAGCCAGCTGTGACCACCGTCATATCTGAGTCTCCAGCAGTTTGCGGATTGTGGGAGGCACTTGTGCCACCAAAGTGTGCTCCCCTGCTGAGCCATAGTGCCTGTGATCCCACCTCTTCACTCATTCTTTAGTGAAGGAGCTGTACCTCTGGGGCTGTGACCTCAGCTAACATCCTGTGGTCCCTTCGGGAGGATCTATTCATGTAAACACAGGGGGTCACTCTATCAGGTGCCAAGCTGGCTGGAGACTTTGACGGCTTTTGATGCATTGAATCCCCACCACAGGCCTTTGAGGTAGACGGTATTAGCCCTCGTTGTATAGATCAAAGGCTGAGGCATGGGGGAACATGAACCGGTCTCACCCAAGCCACTCAGCTCGGAAGCAGTATGGAGACTCGGCATTCCTGACTCCGAAGGCCAGATGTGCTGCCAGATGTGCTGCATGTCAGCACCGCGAGGGAGTTTGGCCGGGGCTTCATCTAGCTCTGCCCTTTCCGTTACAGATGCAGGGTAGGGAGATGTGTGGCTCAAGGCCACACAGCCTGTTAATGGCCTTCACTTAGTCTCCTGCAGAACCCTGTCCAGCTGACACTAACTTCGTGCATGGGTCACTTCATAGGTCCTTCCTCAGATTCAGGCCTGGGCCAGAGATTGGCTCAGGGAGGAAGGGCCTAGAAAGGTGGTTGGGCAGTTGCCAGTAGCTTCTGCCCACTGGGCTGACTCACAAGCCTTGACTGCTGGAGCCAGAAGGGCTCAGAGGCCTTGTCCTGGGGTAGTGCCTTGGATCACAGCTGATCTAGATGCCATGAAGCAGCAGCTGGTGGGGAAGCTGGGTGATCACTGGGCAATACCTTTCCCTTCCAGGTTTACCGCTCCAAGATGGACGGCGAGGCCACCAGCCCTCTGCCGCGGACCCGTAGTGGTCCTCTCCCCTCCTCCTCAGGCTCTTCATCCTCCTCCTCACAGCTCAGCGTGGCTACCCTGGGCCGTAGTCCATCACCAAAGGTCTGAGGACATGTGTGGTGTCGGGGATGGAGACAGCCATGTTGGGCAGAGGCTAAAGCTGTCCTTGCAGACATTAGGCTTGGAATGGGGTCCCCTGAGCTCCAATACTAGCGCTCCTACATCCCCCCACCTTGCAGAGTGCCCTGCTTGCCCAGAATGGCACCAGCAGCCTTCCTCGCAACCTGGCAGCCACGCTGCAGGATATCGAGACTAAGCGCCAACTGGCCCTACAGCAGAAGGGTAAGTGGCTGTAATGCCAGCCTGCCTCTGTCTCCATTCCCCGGGCAGAGCTTCTGTCACCTCGTGCACGCTCAACCCGCCCAGGTTTCCTGTCACTGGGATCTGGGCAAGAGCAGCAAAGATTCAGATCTCATGAAGATCTTCCTGGGAGTTCTCAGAAGACCCCAGGACAGGGGACTCAGGGTCTGAGGACTTGTGACATCTTAGAGGGCCCATCTTTGACCAAGTAGGGTGGACATTGGAAGCAGTGGGTGGATGTGATGAGGCCCTCCAGCAATGGTTTCCTGAGACACTGGCTCTTCAGACAGGAGCCCTGTGGCTATGTGTGTTTCAGTTGTTTTGAAAGCCCATGTCTGTGCCTCTCTCTCCTCTTATCCCCTCTGTGTCTCTCTCCTGCACCCTCTGCCCTGGGCCCCCCACACCAGTCGAGTCACTTCCTGCCGAGCCCCTCCCACCCGACGACCCAGCAGGTAGAGCATTGGTTACTCAGGACATTGCTTTGGCCAGGCAGCCCCTGTCCTGACATTAGCATGATGTGTCCTGCCCAGGCTCTGCTGCCTGCTGGCGTTACCCACCCTACCCCCACCCTCTGGCCTCACCGGGCTAGGGTGCTTGGCTGGCTTCCGGTCCAGCTCACCTTCCTGTTGCGCTTAGCTATGCTTTCCAGTTTCCTTGCCTTCCCTCCTGCTCTGGCTGCCATTGCTTCTGCATTGCTGGGGGCCTGCACTGTCTGGGGGTTCCCACCAACTCCCCTTCTCCCTCCCCAGCAGACATGGTGGGTGCATGTGCCCTGCTCATCTGTACAGGCCTCAGTTGCGAGCTGGAACAGCTGGCTGGCATACTGCCTGGGCACTACCAGGGCAGTCGTGTGCCCTGTGTGTGCCCGGGATGCGGAAAGAGGCCTGAACTCAGACTGCAAACACGGGCCTACATGACTGCAGGGGCCATTGGCCTAGAGCTATGGGAACCAGGCAGCTGTGGGGCAGGGGCTGCTCTGCGTTAGCCTCTTCCTGCCTGCCTCCTCTCTCTGTGATGCTCCAGTCTTCCCACCCCCGGTGAGTGAGGAGCCCTCTGTGAACCCACTGCCCCTCCTGCAGGGCACCAGGTGATTGAGGAGCAGCGGCGGCGACTGGCCGAGCTGAAGCAGAAAGCAGCCGCTGAGGCCCAGTGCCAGTGGGATGCCCTGCACGGTGCGGCACCCTTTGCAGCAGGCCCCTCGGGCTTCCCAGCACTCATGCACCATTCTATCCTGCACCACCTGCCAGCTGGCAGGGAGCGTGGCGAGGAGGGTGAACATGCTTATGACACCCTGAGCCTGGAGAGCTCGGACAGCATGGAGACCAGCCTCTCTACAGGGGGCAACTCAGCCTGCTCCCCTGACAACATGTCCAGGTGCCTCCTCCCTCTGGCCTTCTGCTTGTGCCTGGCACCCTTGAGCTCACTTGACGAGCTCTCTCTTCCTCTTCCCTCCCTAGTGCCAGTGGTTTGGACATGGGCAAGATCGAGGAGATGGAGAAGATGCTAAAGGAAGCTCATGCAGAGAAGAGCCGGCTCATGGAGTCCAGGGTGAGGCTGACTGGAGCCAGGAGGCAGCAGGTGGTGAGCACGGAGCTGCCTTCCTCCTGCCGTACCCCAAGCCCTTCTGCCCACATTAACTTTATAGTAAAAGTTTGTATTTCTCAAGTGTGGCCTGGGAGACTTGGGCAGGCTACAGCGTCCCAACCCCTGGAACATGGGCAGTTGTCACTCTGTCCAGCCCTGTGTTTCCTATAGGGTAGCTTCAGTCTCATGCCCCATCCTATGGACCTTGTGGGAACCTAAGTAGGGGGACATTCTCCTTGGGGATAATTTGGAAAAGCAGAACGTGGGGTTGAGGTAGAGGATCAAAAAGAAAAAGAAAGGTGGGTACCTAAGTCAGGGCAGAGACGTTGGTTAGTGGGACTGAGGAATCACAGGGGCTGGAAAAAGAGGAAGAACTGACCATATGGATGGAAGACCAGCTAAAAAAGATGTCTCCATGTTATTGACATCAAATTGAGGCAAGTTTATAAACCTCTCTTGGAGAGAAAGTTAGAGATGACTGCCTTTCCGGAGGACCAGGGTTCAAATCTTCCCAGCACCCACATGGCGGCTCACACCTGCCTGTTAACTTAGTTCCAGGGAATCTGATACCCTCACACCAGTGCACATAAAATTAAATAATTAAAAGAAAAAGCTTACTAGCACATGCTCTAGGAATTCATGTAAAATTGTAAGAGCCTGGGGCTGGAGAGCTGGCTCAGCAGTGAAGGGGGCTCGCTGCTCTGGCAGAGGGCCACAGTTTTCTATGACTCCATCTCCTAGGGACCTGACACCCTCTTCTTGCTTCCGTGGACACCTGCACATACGTGACGTGCACATGCTAGTGCACACGCACGCACATGCATGGAGAAGTAAATAAAAATATTTATTTTGTTAGAACCAGGTGTGGTGGCATCCACCTCTAATCTCAGCACTTAGGAGGTAGAGGCGGATGGATCTCTGAGTTAGAGACCAACTTGGTCTACATAGAGTTCTAGGCCAGCCAGAGTAACATGAGACCCTGTCTCCATAAAAGAAAGTTATACAAGACTCACTTTATTGAGTGCTATTTTTGTGCTGGAATCTGATGGCATATCTGACTTCTTTGAACTTTTACCCCATTCCCAGAAGCAGATTTGTTGAAGCCCAGTTTCCTAATGAGGTAGCTGAGGCGTGGGGAGTGTGAAGGATTTGGCAGGGTGTATAGCCCATAACGTGCTACCAGAGCCAGTGTTTGAAGCGTTTATCCTTAGCCGGGAGAGGGTGGTCTTTAATGACATGCTTGCTTAGTGCCACCAGTGTCCAGGGTCTGTAACTCTGTGCAGGCCTGAGGTCACTGACCCCTCTTTTCCTTTCTGCAGGAGCGGGAGATGGAACTACGGAGGCAGGCCCTGGAGGAGGAAAGGCGGAGGCGGGAGCAAGCCGAAAGGAGGCTGCAGACTGAGAGCGCCCGCAGGCAGCAGCTGGTGGAGAAGGAAGTGAAGCTGCGGGAGAAGCAGTTTTCCCAGGTAATGGTCGGCTTGACCTGGCTATGAAGCAGGCCCCCTGTACCGGGCAGTGGAGCCCGGCAGCCAGAAAAGATTACTGTGGGCCTCCCGGGCAGCATTCCACCTGGAATTCATTGGTGGCTACAGCAAACGCATGAGGGTTTGTTGGTGCTTGCGTTGGGGTGGGTGGGGTGTGGAGCTGTCCACCCTCCTATGTGTCTCTGGAATCAGAGGGTCTGAAGAAAGGCACACCTAAGCGACCACTACAAAGTCATATTTATAGAGAGAGACAAAGACGCAGGATTCTGGGTACGCAGAGAGACAAAGACGTGGGATTCTAGGTACACCTCCAGAGTTACAGGATTGGTAAGAATCAGAACGGCCGCCTTGGCTTCTCTAGGGCCCTGTCCAGTTTTGGGAGTCTATGCTATCTGTCCCTTCTACCAGCTGCCAGTCTTGCATGGTGCCCCTTGTGTGCCAGCCCTCTTCTCCTCATAGGGCCTTTGGGCTCCAGTCTCTGTCACTTGTGGACAACCTTACTCTAACGTTTAGTGTATAACTTCTCCTCAGGCAAAAATCTCTCATTGCTCAAAACCAGACGTTCCCCGGGAGAGATAGAAGCAGGGGGAGGAGAAAAGGGGCTGAGCAAGGACATCTACGTGTGTGCCTGGTCCCTCACCCCGTGAGTGCTATGGAACTCAGCCAGGTGGCTCCTTCTGATTGAGTCTCCATAGTCTTCCCCAAGCTGGGGTCCTCTGGGACCTCCCTGTAGAGGGACCAACAACCACAGCTCCCTTGTTTTCTGAGATGTGGTAACATAAAATCTAGGGGGTAGGACCCGTACTGGGCTTTGATAATTAAGAAATCTCTATAAGCTAGGCAGGGTGATGATGGTGCACACCTTTAATCCCAGCACCCCAGAGGCAGAGGCCAGAGGATCTCTGTGAGTTTGAGGCCAGCATGGTCTACAGAGCTAGTTTTAGGACAGCCAGGGATACACTTAGAAACCCTGTCTCGGAAAAGCCAACCAATCAACAAAACAAACAAACAAAACAGCAACAATTAAAAGCAACAATTAAAAACAACAACAATAAAAAACCCCACACAATTAGAAAGAAAAGAAACCACCAGTGGGGCTGGAGAAATGGCTTGGTTGTTAAGAGCATTTACTGCTTTTGCAGAGAAAACAGGTTTTGGTTCCCAGCAACCACACAGTGGCTCCCACAGCTGTAATTCTTCTCCCAGAGGGTCCTGGTGCCCTTTCTGGCCTCTGAGCACGCCCCTGTGTGATACGCATGTGTGCAGTAGATACACTAACACACATAAAATAAGTTAAAAAAAATCAGAAACTCTGGAGTTTTTCCACCATGGTCTAATCTTTGTCAGAGACCTTGTCCCCTTTCCTGTCCCAGCCCTGACACCTCTCAGACCCTGTCCTTCAGTCTCTGTCTCTGAGGCTAGGGCCTGGTAGGAGAGGAAGCCATCTTTGCATCTCTTGTAAATTGTATATTTTATGTCATTTGTGACATTTCCCTTACTTGATTTTGTTTGTTTTTTTGAGACAGGGTTACTTTGTGTAGCCCTGAGTATTGTGGAACTTGCTCTGCAGGTCAGGCTGGCGTTGAACTCACAGAGATCTGCCTGCCTCCGCCTCGCCACCTGGCAACATTTTAAGGTTTTTCTGGAAAAACAAGAGTAGAAAAATATCCCAGTTAATGGAGAATTCTTACTAGTAAACAGAGATGAAGTAGACCTTAGTGATTGTCTAGAGTCTCTATATTAAATATTCGGACATATTGCGTATATAAAGAATATAATGCAAACAAATCACCAAGCGGATTATTTTACTCATTTTTCTTTCGTTTTAGAGAGAGTTTCCTCTGTCTTTTAATTATATTATGTGTTTAGTGTATGTATGTGTGGAGGGGGAGATGTATGTACAAAGGTCAAAGGACAACTTGTGAGTTTCCTTCTGCTATGTGAGTCCCAGTAATCAGGTCATCAGGCTTGGCAGCAGGCTCCTTCACCCACTGAACCATCTCTGTTTGCCTTCTGATGGTGGGGCTGGATCCCAGGCCCTTGAGAGTGCTAGGGAGGTGCTCCTCTCTGACCTGCATCCCCGTCCTGGAGCACAGCTCTCCCCCGGGACTTGTTTTCCCCAGGACACGTTCACATCTGGCCTCTTGTCATTCTGTCTACAGGGAGAGGAGGGGCAAGAAGACAGCAATGGCTGTCATTGTCATAGGTGGGAGAACCGAGGCAAGGAACTGGCTGGTCAGCATTTTGCCCAGGCCTAGGTCGAGTCCGCACAGGTGTGCCAGGTCTCCACGCTGGTCCCAAGTCCTGTGAAGCCAGTGACAGCCACAGGAGTCGAGAGGGAGTGACGCTAAGATGTGGGAGGTCCAAGGCTAAAGCCAAGGAACAAGAACGAGGGAACAATGAGAAAAGAGGAATAACTCTGCCATCCCTGTCCTCTGTCCCCAGGCACGGCCTCTCACACGCTATCTGCCCAACCGGAAGGAGGACTTTGACTTGAAGACTCACATAGAGTCTTCAGGCCACGGGGTGGACACCTGCCTACATGTGGTGCTTAGCAGCAAGGTACCAGCCTGCGTGGCTCAGGCTGTGGGAGGGAAACCTTGGAATTGTGCTTTCAGGCTGTCCCGACATAGTCAGGACTGTCCCGGTCCCCTGTGTGCTAGCCTGAGACGCTGGGGATGACCTCTGCCCATGCAGACAGAGGTGATGGCCTCTCCTAAAGGAGCCGCTCGGGGAGAAAGGCTCGGGCTCCACGTGTGTATAGTTCTTCAGTGTTATTCCCCACCAGGTCTGCCGTGGCTACTTGACCAAGATGGGCGGCAAGATTAAATCGTGGAAGAAGCGCTGGTTTGTCTTTGATCGGCTCAAACGCACCCTTTCCTATTATGCGGGTGAGTTCCCACAGACTGCCTTGGGCCAGTCAGGGCTGGGACCGCTGGGCTCCAACAGCTGGGTTGGCCGGTCTGCTAGAAGGAAGCCAAGCTTTCAGGTAGAGGGCCAGAGGCTCTCCTCTGAAAATGTACGGAGTGTAGCTGGTTCACATCCTTCATTCTTCCACATAGTTCTCGCTCTGCGGTGTTGTGGGGGATCTGATAAACTCCGGTCCCTATTTCAGATGGCCATGCTTTCTTCCTTGGTGCACACTGTCAGGAAGGCAGGGGCCAAGCAGAGAGTTAAATACGGTGTGTGGGTTTCCCTGACAGGGAACACCTAGACACGGGGTACAAAATCTGGCCTGGGAACTGCCCCTTGTTCCCCCTCAGAGACTTCGAGATAGTCGGTTAAACAGTGTCAAGGACTCTGGGGACATCCCAGGAACCAGAGACCTTATTCAACTCTGCTCTTCCTCCCCCCTACCCGGTCTCTAGCATAGAGTTCTATCCTTGGAATAGCTTTGGACTTTCCTGTTTTGAGCATGGGGTGCTGTGTGGTCCGAAGTCAGCAAGGGCTAGACTGTGCTGTGATCAGTGGTCCTCTGGGTCCCTTTCTGTGCAGGACATGAATTTGCTGTGCATCATGGGCTGGTTGTCTTTGCTGCACAGTGAACCTTTCTGGAACATTGCTGGTATAATAGCAGAGAGACGAGAGAGGTTTGAGGGGCTTTTCCTTGACCCGAAGTGCCTCAGCTGAGAAGTTACTTGTACTCCACCTGCCTGCCAGTCACTCAGCCCCATCACCTAGAGAGCTGGACAGGGGAGGGCTGCAGGGTCAAGAATGCCCAGGCCCCATGCCTTGCCTGCTCCCTCTCACCTTTTACCCACTTGGGAAACCTTCCCTGATCACCCTCGGTCCTGGATGTGGAGAGACCAGAAGCCCAGGTGAAGCTAGGCTAGGGCAGTAGAGGGATCTTGTCAGCCTGGGGAAGCAGAGCTCGCTTCACACATGGAGAGGCTGAGGTGTGTTGAGCTAGGTCCAGGAGAGAGGCTAGGCTGCAAGGGGAGCCTCGTTGAATGTCATAGCAGACTCAAGTCCTGTTCATCCATCACGTGTGTGATCAGGACTCTGTATGCATCAGTGCGTATCTCATTTTTGCCAAGAAGCCCTACATTCACACCTACTTTGTGTGTAAGAAAAATGGGACTCAGAAAGGCTTATTGTCGAAGGTCTCACAGCAACCACAAGGCGGAGCAGAGGGGAGAGACAGCCACTTGTGGGGACGAGGCAGGAGGAAACCAGCAGAGGCAGAAGGGGCAGGAAGCAGGGAGCTGGCTCTGACTGCGTGCCAGGTGCTGGGCTGGCACTTGGCAAATACAATCTCGCTTCATGTCTGTGAAACAAAAGGAGACCACATTTAGGCTGGCAACAGAAACAGAGAAGGAAGCCGGCCAGGAGAACAGACATTTTAAGCCCAAGGTGCCGCTGCAACGATAGATAATTGCCAGGAGGCCAAGAATGATGTGGCCCAGAGGCCGTTTGACTCCGAGACACAGATTTGTGGCTTTCCACCACAGATTGCACAAGACCAAGGATAAGTGGGCGGGACGGAAGTGTGGGCAGGAGCTGTGACTGTTTCCAGTGAAAGAAGAAGGAGGGGAGCGGCTGGAGGGCCGCCAGGTTTCCCAGGTCAGAGGAGGAAATGTTGAGATGGGTGTGGGCTACACCAGGACCTGGGTGTGGCTTGCCCTTTGGGCCTGCATCCTCTTCCTTCTTACAGGAAATCCCAACAGAGCCTCACCTGGGTAAACCCCTCAGCTGCTCCACCATCCCTGGGGTGGTTCCCACCCTCCTCAGCACTCCGGCAGTCATCCCTGTCTGCTGGGTGACATCAGCCGCGAGTGGAATGCTGTAGTGACAGATGCCGTGCACTGTGCCAGACTCCGCTGGATGCTCTGTGCTCTCGCCTTTCACACTCTGTGACACCCTCAGATGTGCAGGGTATTCCTGAGCTCATAGCCACACTGGCAAGTCACTAGGCTGTGTGCCTGCATCTTCTCACGGGGCTGTAGCTTCCTGGCAGAAGGGTTTGTGATTTCTTTTTTAGATGCCAGTACTAGGACTCCGTCATCCTTCATCCAGTAATTGAGCACCTGTTGTGTGCCTGGCACGGAGCTGTTGCTGTTGGAGGATTCTACGATTGTGTGTTGTAGCGGTCTGCAGCGGGTCTTGGAGCTTGGTTAGGAGTTTGCCAAGAATGTTGACGGGAAGAGATGGTCTAGAGAGTGGGGCCGCTAAGGGGGCAGTGAGAACGTGACTAACTCCATGGGGCTTAATGTGGAGGACGCTGTGAGACAAGCTGGAGGGGGCATTGACACCCAAGTCTATGCCAAGACTGTAGCTGGCTCCCCAGGAGGAACCGTGGGAGATGGCTGTGCAATGACGTAGCAGACTGGCTTTCAAAGCTCATCCCCCAACATTGGGGCAGATGAGTAGCAGGATCTTAGGAGGCTAGAGCAGGGGATTGGGCCTGAAATAAGCTGGAGTGTGGGAAGGGACCCAGGGGAGGCGCTTCTAGTAGCTGTCACTCTGAGTTTAGTGATTAGCATTGTCATCTACTGCAGAACTCCAGCTGGTGGCTGAAGGTGTCAGTTGTCCCATCCGATCAGTGGTTTTTGTTGCTTTTTATAAGTAAGACACCATCTCATGTAGCCCTGGTTGGCCTCAAGCTCACTATGTAGTCAGAACTGGTCTTACACCTTTGCCCGTGTTTCTCAAATGTTAGGATTTTAGGTATGCACACATTCCAACGAACAGGGTTCTTAACTCCCTTTTCATATCCAAATGGTAGCAGCGAATACATTGTTCTTTTTGCCTTAAGGTATCTTAGCAGTCTGTTTCAAATACATCTACCACTTTGTACTTAACACTTGGTGTGTTTTATAGATACCTCATGTTCCTTGGGGCTGGAGAGATGGCTTAGTGGGTGGAGCACTTACTGCCCACACATGAGGACCTGGGTGCAGATCCAGTACTCTGTGTACCCCATGCACCCCTGTTACCCCAGCACTGTGACAGATGGAGACGGAGGACTGCTGGGGTTTGCTGGCTGCCAGCCCAGCCCCAGGTCCAGTGAGAGACCCTGTCTCAAGGGAATATGGTAGAAAGTGGCGTCCTTCTCTGCCTCTTGAGTGTATGCATACGGGCATGCACATCCTTGCACGGGTGCCTCCACAGCACACACAGACATGCTGTACCATCCAACAGCAGCTGTGTCGTGTCCCACCACATGTGCACTCTGGGATTCCAGCACTACAGAGGCAGAGGCAGGAGGATCTCTGTGAGTTTGAGGCCAGCCTGGTCTACAGAATGAGTTCCAGGACAGCCAGGGCCACACACTGTTGTAAATCTGTTATTTTATATTAAGTCGGATAAATTATGTTTTGTTATTTGGTTCTTGTCACAGGGTCTCACTATGTGGCTCTGTTTGGCCTGGAACTTAGTATTTAGACCAGGCTGGCCTCAAACTCCCAGAGTTCAGCCCACCTCTGCCTCCTGAGTACAAGAGATCAAACTCTTTCTAGTTTATTATTTGTGTTTAAGTTAAAATGTAATTATTATTTTAGAGGGTTTTGTTGTTGTTGTTTGTTTTTTTTTCAGACAGGGTTTCTCTGTGTAGACCTGACTCTCCTGGAACTCACTTTGTAGCCCAGGCTGGTTTCAAACTCAGAGATCCTCCTGCCTCTGCCTCCTGGGTGCTGGGATTAAAGTCCTGTGCTGCACCGCCCGGCATTGTAAAGATTATTATTTTAGACAGGCCTGAAACTACCTCAGCCTCAGCAAATTGCTGGGGCCCCAAGTGCCCTACTTTGGACTGACATGGTCACATCATCCATAAAAGCCTCACCAGCTTTGCTCCCGCCTGTCCTTTTCCTGACACTTCTTGTCAGCGGTCTCATCTTGTCTTCTAGTAAATCGCACCTCAGCAGAGTTCTGCTTTACATTATGCCTGGCTTATTTTTTTAAATTAACATTTTTATTTTATGTGCATTGGTATTTTGCCTTGGGTGTCAGGTTCCCTGGAACTGGAATTACAGACAGTTGTGAGCTGCCATGTGGGTGCTGGGAACTGAACCCAGGTCCTCTGGAAGAGCAGTCAGTGCTCTTAACCAGTGAGCCATCTCTCCAACCCTTCCCCCATTCCCCAGCCGAGGAAGTGAGCTCAGACTCGGGGCACCCCATGCTCTGTCCCACTCAGTCCATTCCTCGTTCCTTTGCAGACAAGCACGAAACGAAGCTGAAGGGGGTCATCTACTTCCAGGCTATCGAGGAGGTGTACTATGACCACCTGCGCAGTGCAGCCAAGGTGAGGCAGCGGGGACCACTGTGGGATAGCCCCCAGGAAGGGTGTCGCCATGGTGTTCTGGGCACGAAGGCCTTGAGCCCGTCTTTAGGCTCTGCTTCGCCCTCACTGTCTTCACCGGTTTTCTCTTCCTTTCTTCCTCTCCCCCTCCCAGAAAAGGCTCTTCCACTTCACCATGGTGACTGAGGTACCCCTACTCTTAACTAGAACTGCTCATATTAACAGCTCCTGTGTCCCATGGCCCCTGACCCCTGACCGCCTCCCCCATCCCTCTAATTTATACCAGGCCAGAGAGGAGGGAGCAAGGGGCTCCTGAGGCTTGAAGCCCACTTACTGCCTTCCTCTCTGGCCTTGACAGTCAGTGCAGCCCTGAGGTGGACAGTTGACTGGGGAGATGAAGGGGTCGGTGGGGGAAGCGCAGGCACTAGGTTGGAGACCTGGAATCGATAAAAGGAGCTGTCGGTGGCTGAGCCAGACAAGAAACATTGCCCTGTTTCTTGCCAGCCCTCAGGCCCCACCTAACCCTGACCTCTGCTCCTCTAGGGTCTGGTCCAGCCTCTTACTTACAGCCTTTTCCTGCCTCCTTTTGGCTTAGAGGAGAATATGCTTCTCACTGGGACAACTCCTATGACAGATTCTCTTGTATTAATTTTGGAACTGAGGCCTGCCCCTGTTAGGGTTGCAAAGGTTTAGAATTCCAGGTGTTAGAATTAAAACTTGTAGACCCCTGGGGACTAGGCTTTGGGCTGGTTAAGACTCAGCCTTAGGCCAGGTGGTGGTGGCGCACACCTTTAATCCTGGCACTTGGGAGGCGGAGACAGATGGATTTCTGTGAGTTGGAGGCTAGCCTGGTCTACAGAATGAGTTCCAGGACTGTCTTGAACCCCTCCCCCCAAAGACAGCCTTAAATTCAGGGCTTCCTGAGACTTCAGTGAGAACGGCAAACAAGAGACAGGTGAACAGAGTATTCTGGGCATGGAGTTTCACCTTAGCACTTCCTGTCTTGCCTTGGCAGAGTCCGAACCCAGCCCTCACCTTCTGCGTGAAGACCCATGACCGGCTGTACTACATGGTGGCCCCATCTGCAGAGGCCATGCGCATCTGGATGGATGTCATCGTCACAGGAGCTGAGGGCTACACCCAGTTCATGAACTAACTACTGTGCACTCCTGGGTTCTCAGGTCAGCCCCAGGACCCATGCCCTGCCACTTGCTGCTTGGCTTGTCCCTGAAGACAGCGGCACACTGGGCACCGGGCCACAAAGGGTCAGGATGTGGCAGAGAACCCCAGGGCTTTTGTGCAAGAAGACAAATTGTTCTGTGAGGGGTTTGGTGCTTGAGGGCTGGGCCTGGGTCCCTAAGAGGCCAGCAGAGAGGACCTCTTGGAAGCCCAGAAGTTAGGGGGTCCTTCTTGGGTCTGGCAGGCCTGAAGAGCTGTCGCAGAGCTGGGCTCTCAACTCTAACCTGGCACCTGCTCACCTCAGCTTGTTTTCTCTGTATAAAGGACAAACTATGGTACCAGAATCTGCCAAAGATTCCCTTCTCATCTCACCCCGTGCAGGGGTCTGGGGGGTACTGGGCAGAGCCGTGTGTAGAGTTGGGGAACAGCTCAGGCCAGCGCTTCCCAACCCCGTGCCACCCCTCATCCTCCCACCTCCGTACTTCTCACTACTCTGCTCAAGGACCAGAGACCTCAGGTGTCATCCTTGAGGTCCAGCCCCATCACCATGGTCTCCATGGTGACTGCTTCAGCACCACAGTTATACACTAATTGCCATGGACACTCTGTGGCTCAGCCCACTGCTTCAGCTGTGGGCCACATGAAGGTACGTGCCATCGTCTCTCCAACCCAGGCCTGGGGGTGTGTCACCTGGCAGGAGGAAATGCCACCTCCCTGCTGCAGTCTGTCTCCAGCCCCCAGTCCAGCCTCTCCCTTCCGCTGTGCCTTGCTTAGAGCCAGAAGGGACGGTGTTCGGGGATCCGAGACCAGGAGAACAGCAGCACTGAGGGGAGAGGAAGCTAAGATTCTGTCCTCCTGTTCTGACAGGACCAGTTCCCAGTAAGGAGGAGGGTAGCTCAGGATGCCCAGAAAGAGTCCTGAGCTGTGGGTGGGGAGGGCAGAAGCAAGGCCCTGAGCTGTGGTACCCTCCCTTCAGTTCCCAGGGGCCATGGGAAAAGAGTGGAGGATCGAGTCTCCAGCTGGCTGGCTTCAGCCTTTACGCCTTAACACTAAGCCACCTCCCTCCCCTCCCCAGCACCGGACCCTTGGTCGCTGGGCCTGGCTGGGTGTTTTGCAGTATTTGTAAGCGTTTCAGCAGAACAATAATAAAAGCATTTTGACAAGTACGTGTGTGTGGAAGCCCAGGTTGTATGTGGTTCCCAGTGGGCTGCTTCAGGCATTTGGACTCGGTTTTCCCACGAGTAGGGCTTTCCACCCTAGTGAAGGTTACAGGTAGGAATCCAGTCCCTAATCTTGACCTCCTGATCACTTCTGGCCCCAGTGCACTGAACAGGACAGCTGGGGGGTGGGGGTGGAGCCAGAGGAGGAAGTGCACACAGTAAGGCCATTCTCCTTGTGGTCACTGTAGCAGAAAGCTGATGAGAAGGGCCGCCAGGAGGCAGTGGGGTCCCAGGGAAGCTAGCTGGGTTCCTGAGGTCAGCTGGTCACCATAGCGGTCCAAAAGCGTCAGTGCCAGTCCGTTGGTCCAACCAAATCCTTCCTGGAGAGAGGCCAGATCACTAGACTCCCACGTCCTGATTTAGGGATACCCTCTTCCCAGTGATTCTGGCCACAGAGGCACCAATGATTACCATTCAGAATCTTTCCTCAGAGGCCCAGTACTGGGCGTCTCAGACCTAAGGGGGACGTACATGTTCTGGGGACCCCAGATCCCAGGAGTTGCCTATAATGGTGTTGACCAGCTTGCTCACCTGAACTTCATACTCCCCTCCTCCACCTGGCTGTCCGCCGTTGGTGATGTCATACTAGGGACAAAAGCATGAGTTATAGGTGGGTACTGCTAAACCAGCCACCCTAGCTATAGGGGCAACAGCTATGGAAGGAACAGAAGTATGCACCAGGCTGCTGCTCAGGCCTCTGTAGTGCCCAAGAATGGCCACTGGGGGTCGCACTGTACTGGCTGTGCTGTCTAGGGACTGGCAATGCCGGACACACTTCAACCAGGAATCAGACCCTGGTGAGACCGGCACAGCCCAGCCTCCAGCTCACCTTCTCATACATTGCTGACTTTTGGGAGTAGACTTTGAAGTTGGTTCTGATCCAGTTCTGGGCCAACTGGAAAGCCACCTCCTGAGTCCGGGGGGACGCTGACTTGGCCAAACCTAAGACCCAACCCAGATAAGGCCTGAATACTCAAGAGACCTCCATCCTGGGCAGAACAGAAGCCCGGGCCTCTCTCTCTCCAGGCAGAAAGGGTGTGTGGGCCCTCAGATTTCTGGACCTGTGGGCCCACAGGTTCTTAACCCAGGGCCTGGGATTGGAGGGAAGGAGAGGCGGGCTGGGCCTATCAGCTGCTGGCTTTCCTACCTCTAATGACTAAGTCCTGCAGGGGCGCCCAGGCATTGGGGAAGTCCCATTGCTGGCCTGTGTTGTGAAGAGAGGTCGGGATCCCATACTGGTAGGTCAAGATATTGTTGTCCTAGAAGATTCCAGAATCGCTGTGACTGTGGGCGGTGACTGAAGCCAGAGCCAAGCACGCAGGGCCCTCAGGGAAGGCAGATCTGCCCCTCCTGCCCCTTCTCTTCCTGCCTCACGGCTGCTCCCAGTGGCCTCAGCGAGACTTGCGGGCTAAGACAGGCTCTGCCAGCAGGGAAGGGAGGGGCCTGCCTCCCGGATGCCAGGCCCCGCCCACTGTCCCTCACCTCCAAGTATTTCAGAGCCTTGTCAATGACGCTAGGGTCTGAGAAGCAGCCAGTCCAGAGCGGGGTGAGGTTGGAGGGATAAAACTCCAGGTTCTTCTTCTCTTTTTCCCAGTCATAGTCGAACCAGGCTCCCTTCTGCTCGTCCCACAGGACGGCCTCCATGGCGGCCAAGCGCTGGGACCGCAAGTTTCTGTACTTTGTGGCCTCGGCGTCATTCCCTGTATGGCATTGCCTTTTAGTCTGACCAGCAGGACACTGGGCTCTGCCCTTGGGTCCTGGCTTTAGATGTCTTTACTTTGCCCTTTTCCGTATGTGGTGTCCACACAGGCTAAGAATCCTGACGACAAGGATTGTGATTCCCCAGCGCCCGCTAGAATTCATGGCTCTTTGTACTAGTGGTTCCTGCCCAGCTCCCAGGGACATGCTGGTCTGTCTCCCAGGCTCATCATGCTGACGACTCTTGCTCTGAGGGAGCTAAGGGGCACTTTGGGGAATGGAGACAGATCTGATGCACTGGAGTGTCCCCTTCCAGACCCTAGAGGTCCTCATAGAACAAAGGGGACAGCCATGTGAAGCTAAGGGCAGACTCCTGAGTCATTCTCTTCCCTCAATGCCTCTCTTTCAAGGGGAAGGCTTGAACTGGCTGGGGAGCCCTGCCTCCAGTCCCGTGGCCAAGGTTGATGTGGGAGCCCCACACTGGACAGTCTCCCCTCACGGGGTGCTCACCTAGCCTGGAGTAGAAGTTACTCATCAGCTCCTCTGCTTGGCACAGGAATGCATTCAGGTCAACAGGTACCATTTTGCTGGTTCGGATGCTGCTAAGTAAATCAGGGTTTGTGCCTCCGACAAGCCAGCGCGAAGAGAAGTCCCAGCCAGACTCAGCCCCAGCCTTGAGCTCAGACCACAGAGTCTCTCGGTCCCCTGTAAGGACAGAATAGCAACCCCAAGTCAGCACTTACTGGAGGGGTTAAGCAGCCACAGATGGAAGCTGGAAATACGTAGAGGCTCAGAGCCATCCCATGGGTCCTTCCTCCTCCTGTTCCTGTTTACCTTCCGGCACAGTGATTGCCAATTCTTCATCCTTGCTGTAGGACTCCGGCCTAGCAAAGAGCAACAGCATGTCATCAACAGGTACTAAGCCACTCTGTCAACCAGAAGGCTCAGTCATCTTGATTCAACCCCCGCCCCCATCTCCCTGACACACGCACAGCATGAGATACCCACATCCGAGTGAGCAGACAAGGGACTGATGGCAGGCCAGTTTCTTACCTGGGTCCCCCATAAGGGACATAGTAACGGTTCAAGATATAGCTTTTTCCTCCTGAGCTCACAGACAAACTTCTGTTCACGGTCCAGAAGTCCAGTTCCGAGGCTAGGGTTCCAATGTTCTCCCTGGGGTGGGGTAAGCAACACCTCAGACCACGTACATAGCTACTGCCCTTGGCCCTAGGGAGTCTCCAGCATAGGATATGCCTGCAGGCCAGCATGGGCAGGGTACCCACTGCAGGAAGCTGATGTCCTTGGTGTAAGTCACATACAGATCCATCATGAGAGTCAGGAGTGGGGGCTGGCTCCGTTGCAGGTAATACACACGTCCGCCATTGGGGATGTGTCCGTAGCTGCCAAGAGGGGGTCTGCTTAGATGCTTCCTGACCCAGCACCAAGGCAAGCCCAGCTCCCTGCCTACAGCCCTTCCTTACGTCTTCACCAGATCCAGAAAGTTCTGCAGCATGCCCTTCACTGTTGAGGTCATCTCAGAGAGAAGCAGACCTTCCATCACCCAGTAGGAGTCCCTGGTGGAAGGAGGAGGCACACATCATCCAGCCTCCACCCTCTGCCCTGCACGCCCATGTTGGAGGCTGCTGGCCCTGGGTTCCCCACCACAACTTCCAACCTCTGTGAGCCCCCAGCCTCCCAGACATGGACACACACCAGTAGTAGAACTCAACAAAACGTCCTCCAGGCACGATGAAGGGGTGTTCTGAGTAGATCAGGGAGGACCTCTCGGGGTTTTTGAAAATCTCTGGTTTCATCTGGAGTCAAGAAAGAGGGCACAGGGGAGCCTAGCATCAGCCAGTGGTGGCTGCAGGGAGTGAGGGCAGAGGACCTGGCAGCCTGGCTGGGGAGGCTGGTTCTGTTGTTCCTTCTACTTTGCTGTGTAGTCCAGGCCAGCTTCTGAGAGTCCTAGTGTCCTCACTCTCCACCTGCCAGCCTCTGGGGCCCTGGCTCAACTTGATGGTATACTGAAGCCCAAGCCACTCAGCATGGCATCAGGCAGGCAACCACTGGCAGTATCCATTGTTGTGACCTGGATGAAGCTAAGAGGATGAGGTGATGCTAGTAGAGATCGCCCTTAACCCCCCCAATACCTCTGTTGTCACCTGAAGTCAGAGAAGTGGAACACTCTCCCCCAGTCCCCCTTCCAGAATGATGAAACCCGTGCTCTTTCCTCAGGCACACTTGAGAAGACCGGGAGCAGTGAGGACTGGCATGGGTTAATTTAAGTTATAAGAGCTAGTTAAGCCGGGTGGTGGTGGCGCAGGCCTTTAACCCCAGTACTCAGGAGGCAGAGACAGGTGGATCTCCCTGAGTTCGAGGCCAGCCTAGTCTACAAGAGGTAGTTCCAGGACAGCTAGGACTGTTACACAGAGAAGCCTGTCTTGAAAACAGCAACAACAACAACAACAACAAAAGAGCTAGTTAATAATAAGCCTGAGCTAATAGGCCAAACAGTTTATAATTAATATAAGCCTCTGTGTGTTTCTTTAGGACGGAACAACTGTGGGACAAGGGCAGCATTGGGTGCCCCTAGCTTGGTTTGCATGGGTGGTTCCCTAGAGGAGGTGAGGGGTTAAAGCAGATGTTCCCTCCATGCTTTCTAGAAGGCTTCTGTTTAGGGATCAGGACTGTGGCGTGGCTCTGTCCTACCCCCGGAGCAGTCAGTCAGACCATGAAGCAAGCCCAGGACATGTCGCAGGCCTAGGCCACTGCTACCTTCTTTCCCAGGTTCTTCCAGATCTGGTGCAGTTGCCCCGCCCAGTCACGCAGCTTGGCATCGGAGATCTTCTGCAGGAACTGAGGCCTAGAAGAGATGAGCCACAGTGTTCAGGGAGGCAGCCCCAAGAGAGGGACCCTGACCTGTCTTCTCTCCAGAGGGGCACCTCTCTTTCCAGTCCTCTGGGATCCAGGACTGCAGCTCCTGCCCCACAGGCTGGAAGTATGTCTGGACAAACTTCTGAAGCTCTTCCCTGGGGATGCTGTTGTTGTGTGTCATGGCCAGCTGTCTGAAACTCTGCAGCACTTCATCTGGAGAGCAGATGACACCGAGGGGTCGGTGGAGTACCCTGAGACACCTCCTGATCGGGGGAGCCTATGCTGCTCCCACATCTGCCTCCTTGAGGTAGAAGGTTCAGGGGAAAGCAAGGTAGCTTTACCTGGAGACGCGGTGAGTGACATATCCACAA